TTGATACATCTCATCCCCTAAGTTCTTTCTTCTCCGTATCCCCAACTTTGGCTACCCGTATCTCTACCAAAACATAAAGATATTGTTTTTTGTTGGTCCCTGGCATTGTCGACGTACAGGGCAATGAACAGGCCGACACTGGCTGCGGCGGTCAGCAGTAACACATGACTTTACCAATTCCTATCGAGGTGTTCCATTTCTGACTAATTTTGCTGCAATAGCTACCCACCTTCGCACGCCGTTGGCAAAACAACGTTGGTCACTCTGCTCGGTAACAAACTTCATTCTATTAAACGAGGCATAGGTAATGGCCGTCTTTTGTCATCATGCCGAGGTTGGGAGACCACTCTCCCCGCCTTTGCATTGGCCACACTCGTCTTACTTATGGGTATCCAAGGAGAGGCACCCTGTTCCTCTCTGTGAGCAGTGTCAAGTTCCAGGTATCGATAGCCACATTCTGTTAGACGCCCCTCTCTATCAACGAGCACGCAGAATTTAACCTCCGTCGTCGTCTTCGTTTTCTACTACTCTCTCTTTAATTACTTCCCTTCTTGCGATGGAACCTCCTTTAATCCTGACTCTCTCATTGACTTCTTTGACAACAACTGATTTAAAACTCCACAAACTCTGATGATACTTTTCGGCAACTCCCCTCACCCATTCTAGTTCAGTCTCTTTGCTGCATCTTTACCCTATTCACCATCCACTACCCATCACCCCTGTTCCGTAACCTATTACTCATCCATCTCCCTTTTGCCACCTGATGCCCTCGCTTCCTTCCATGGCCTCTGCACGCTGTATAGTCCCTTGTGGCTTAGCGCTTCTTTTGTGGATTATAATAATAATGCCACTTGCCCCGCCCTCCAAACCACCTATCAAATGCCTTTTTCCAAACCATAAATGCCACAAAAGCAGGGGGGGGGGGGGGGATCCTATATCTAAATAAGGTTTCACCTCTGTGTGTTTCACTACAAACACTTGGTCTACACTACCTCCTTGTTCATCTGCTAACCTGCTCTCCATCTTACTCATAATTCTATCAATACAAATCTACCCATACACTTACTGAAGGTATACTCCAGACTGACTTTATTCCTCTATAAATTTTACACTCTTTTGTCCTCTTTGCCTTTATACAAAGGAACTATGCATGCTCTTTGCCAATCCCTAGGTACCTTACCCTCTTCCATTCATTTATTAAATAAAAAATCCTAACCACTCCAAAACTATATCCCCACCTGCTTTTAACATTTCTATCTTTATCCCATCAATCCCAGCTGCTTTACCACCTTTCATTCTACTCACTGCCCCATGCACTTCCCCCACACTCACAACCGGTTCTTCCTCAGTCCTAGATGATGTTATTCCTCCTTGCCCTATACACGAAATCACAGCTTCCCTATCTTCATCAACATTTAACAATTCCTCAAAATATTCCCTCCATCTTCCCGATACCTCTAACTCAACATTTAATAACTCTCCTCTCCTATTTTTAACAAACCCATTCTTTCCATAGGCTTTCTCAACTTAATCTCACTCCAAAACTTTTTCTTATTTTCATCAAAATTTGTTGATAACATCTCACCCACTCTCTCATTTATTCTCTTTTTACATTGCTTCACCACTCTTTTAACCTCTCTTTCTCTCCATATATACTTCTTCCTCCTTGCATCACTTCTACTTTGTAAAAACATCTCATATGCTAACTCTCTCTTACTACTCTCTTTACATCATCATTCCACCACTCACTCTTCTTCCCTCCCACACCCACTATCCTGTAACCACAAACTTCTGCTGAACACTCTTAACACTATATACTTAAACTTACCCCATACATCATCTACCCCATTGCCTGTATTCTCACTAGCACATCTGTCCTCCAACAGTTGTTTATATCTTACCCTAAATGCCTCCTCCTTTAGTTTATAAACGTTCACTTCTCTCTTACTTGCTGCTTCCATTTTCCTTGTATCCCATCTACCTTTTACTGTCACTGTAGCTACAACTAAAAAGTGATCTGATATATGTGTGGCCCCTCTATAAACATGTACATCCTGAAGTCTACCTAACAGTCTTATATCTACCAATATGTAGTCCATCAAACTACTGTCATTTCACCCTACATCATATCTTGTATACTTATTTATCCTCTTTTTCTTAAAATGTGTGTTACCTATAACCAAACCCCTTTCTATACAAAGTTCAATCAAATGCTCCTCATTATCATTTACACATGGCAACCCAAACTTACATACCACACCCTCTCTAAATGCTTCTCCTACTTTAGCATTTAGGTCCCCTACCACAATTACTCTTTCAATTCGCTCGAAGGTTCCTACACACTCACTTAACATCTTCCAAAATCTCTCTCCTCTACACTCCTCTCTTCTCCAGGTGCATACACACTTATTATGACCCACTTTTCATATCCGACCCTTATTTTAATCCACATAATCCTTGAATTTATGCATTTATATTCCCTCTTCTCTCTCCATAACTGATCCTTTAACATTATTGCTACCCCTTCTTTAGCTCTAACTCTCTCAGATACTCCTGACTTAATCCCACTTATTTCTCCTCACTGAAACTCCCCTACCCCCTTCAGCTTTGTTTTGCTTAGGGCTAGGACATCCAGCTTCTTTTCATTCATAACTTTTGTAATCACTTCTTTCTTATCATCTGCACTACATCCACTCACATTCAAACATTCCAATTTCATAAAGTTCTTCTTTTTAGCAATTTATACAGGACAAGGGGTTTCTAGCCCATTGCTCCCGGCATCTAGTCGCCTCGTATGACATGCATAGCTTACGGAGGAAGAATTCTGTTCCACTTCCCCATGGAGATAAGCAGAAATAAACAAGAACTAGGAAGAAAATAGAAGAAAATCCAGAGGGGTTAGTATATATATGCTTGTACATGCATGTGTAGTGTGACCTAAGTGTCAGTAGAAGTATGAAGACATACCTGCAACCTTGCATGTTTATGAGACAAAAAGACACCGGCAATCCTACCATCATGAAAAACAATTACAGGATTGTTTCACACTCATTTGGTAGGACGGTAGTACCTCCCTGGGTGGTTGCTGTCTACCAACCTAGTGAGCAGTTATTTTGCCAAAAAACAAATGAAAAAAAATATTTACTGAAAATGACATTTGGCAAGAACCCTGGCTTAAATGGCACAACAAAAGGTGGTTTTGGGACTTGGTAATTATAAAACAATGCTAGTGCGATGTTCTCACTGGAGGTAATCGTGTAATTATCTTTAGCTATTCTACAAAAAATAAAGTTGCAAAGTTTTTGATATTTGGAAAATATCTTGCCCTTTACTCCCAAACAAATCCCAAAATATCTGGAATATTTCCAATATTCCACAAGCCAATTGTAGAACAATCATTTTTTTATGATTCCTGCCAATATTATTGCATTTATTTCAATAATAAATGGTGGGCTTCACGAAATAAGTCAATAACTTACTTCTGAGATATTCACCGGGAGTGCGGGCCGGGCTCCCGTGATCTAGTGCAGTTAGCCTCTCAAAAACTCCATTTTCTCTTACCCAGGACCAGAGCACATTTTATAGGAAGCAGCAGTAATGATTTTATAAGCTCGGACTGGTCCTGGACACATGCTATATTATGGCTTATTTTATTCATTCTAGAGTATATATCATGTTTCTATGTTACTTATAGTGTTATCATGTCATATTAGATCAATTCTGATATATAAATAAGCCGTAGAGCTCATATTAGCGTTGTACTAAAGTATTTTCTCCTGCCCCTCGAGACTCAGGAATTCCACCAACGAAAGCAAATGTCTGATCTCCAAAGTAAATACACTTTATAAAACCAGTTTATTTCTTTACATTCTCTTTTGTGTTTTATGTTTTAATATATTTATTTATAAATACATTTTTGTTATTTAAAAACACATAACAAAAAAATTGGGGTGTTTTTTTTTGGGGCTAGAATGGATTAATGGCATTTCAGTTAATTGCAATGAGAAAAATTTATTTGATATACGAGAAAATTGAGTTACGAGCTCGGTCACGGAACGAATTAAACTCGTAAGTCAAGGTACCACTGTACGAGTATAGTATTCTTCCCCTGTTCAAAAACTGACTCGGGCTTATTTGTGACATTTATATTTTACACATCTTAAACCAATGCATACAATGTATTAAACTGTCCAGGAAACAAAATATCTATGTATTTCAAAAGTTATACTTAACAGCTGTGTCTGATTTAAATGATCTTATTTACTCAGTGCTTAAAACTTGCATTTAAACAGCTATTATTCACCATTATTTTACTAAGGTTATGCAGTCACAAATACACTCAAATGAAAAGCAAGGCTTTTGACTCTTAAAAATCAGTAAGAAAACTTAGCCTCTGGTATTGATAGTTTTAATCCACCAATTAATTTTTTGGGATGATGCAGGGTTATGCATCCACAGTATTCTGTCTGCTGTTTAATTCATGACTAAACAGCATCAGGATGTTTCCTAGGCATTGTAAACTCAAGATATGCATCTTATACATATGTGCTTCCTACTACTTAAACAACAGATTAATGTTAATCATTTCTGGAGCTATGGAAACTGAAAAGTAACTTATCTCAAAGCCAAGCCAGTCTCAATGCAATATGGGACGTCAGGTATTTAATGTGTCTGCAGACAGGAACCCTCTTGGTTCCGTACACACAGTTCTGATTCAGTGTTTCATAAAGCCAGTCAACCTTTTCCTTTGACATTTAACATTTTTAAAAATACCTCCATTAATTTTCGTTGGGAGCAACATACTCTTAAGCTTTTTTTCTAATTATTCCTTAACTAAATATAAAAACATCTGAATCTTAATATATAATAATATTTTATTTTCCTCTTTAAATTAAAAAAAAAACGACTTTAATCTCTGAATTAATAAAAGTTTCCTAGCCTTTGAGGAAACATTTTTGGTTTTTGGGAATGATTTTTAACAAACTTCTTAGAGCTTTCAAAATGGACTTCAATGCACCTTAAAGCTTATGCAAGCTTACAGCTTCTGGGGTGTACCTAGGCTGTCATGCCTGCAGGCCAGTGACTCTACTCTTTGATGATCTTTGCCACAGACACGTTCAAAAGAAGATTACAAGTTTTAACATTGCTGAGGTAAGTAAAGCAGGCATTTCTTATCAGTATATTAATTATTGTTATATTAGTCCATGAATGAAGACTCCAGAGACTCCTAGTGCAGTATATACTCAATACTGACATGAGCAAGTATCAGGAGGAAATTATAAAAAGTGAGCACTAAACCTGTCTGGGTAATACAACACTGCAAGCTGGAGTTTGAAGATTGTAATTATGGTAATTAGTGCTGCCCCAAAAACATTTGAAATACAAAATTGCTGCTTATAACAATGCAAATTTATCAACATTATGCAGTTTCAAATTTCAGTTTCTTTATAAATGCTAAAGCCTTTTGTATTAAGCTTTCTGCTCGCTTAAAATAGCAGTGGGGTGATTTAATATTTTTCCTCACTTAGTTTTTACCAATTGCATTCATATTTTGTGTATGATTATTTTATGTATACAGAGCTCATATTTATTTGGTAGAGACTGGTCAAGATCCACAGATTTAATAGGCAGTTACAACTGCAGCTTATAACTGTACCTACATTTTATAGGGCTTGGCTCTGACTATCATCTTTTATGTTATTAATTGTGCAAGACCTGTTATATACCTACATTATTACTATATGTATTTAAAGGAAAGCTCTAAACTTATAGTTATATAGCTCTTGGTGACTGGGAGGTAATCAGGTCCCAATTCAAGGGAAGAATGGGTCTAATTCTTTAAATTAGGAGCTCCTAGCTAGCACAGAGGAGCCTCCCTTTGAGGTATATAGAATGCATATTACAGTTATTATTATTTTTATAATAAAAAAGAAGCGCTAAACCACAAGGGTTTACATATTTACAAGTAATCATACAGAAGTATGCACTGTATATACAAAAGCAGAGGTAGACCCTAGAGTAATGATGCCCATATGGGTTTAGTGTTGTGACACTCCACAGTCAAAAACCTTCAGGTCTTCCACAGAGGGTTGCCCCCTTTTCTGGTTACTTCCCAGTACTGGCTGCTTAAAATATACAGTACCAAAAAAAAAAAAAAAATGCATAAAAGTTAGCAGAAAATATTGAAAAGCTATAATCAAATAAAAAACATTGGACACCATAAAACAGAATGTTGTTTAATGGATACACATTTCAACTATTCAAAACACAAAGCATTAACTCAATAAATTTTTATACAAGAGAAAAGGTAAATAATCTTGGAATATTAATGATATAATATTTGGAGAGCACATTATTATTATAATTGTATAAAGTACTTACCCTGTAGGGCTCAGTGACGGGAAACTAACCTCAGGAGAAAAATAGTTATTGTTGAGGGTGCGTACAGAGTTGGTGCAGTAAAACAATAAATGAAAGGCATAGATAATCAGGGATGAAGGTGGGACTTTCAGAGGAGACAGGAGCAGAGCAAGAATGTTATTGTTAAAGGGGGAGGGCTTGAAACTAATGGCAATGTGCTTTCTGATAAATCTGATACAGTAATTAAAAGATATTGGCCTGTCAACATGTCCTGGCAATTCTTGCGGAGTGGCATTGACCACAGAACTATGATTTGATGAAATCCAACATGTTCGTCATCAATTCAAACCAGCAACATAGGTAGCGATCTCACAATCAGTTGACAAATGATTCTAAAGGGAAACTTGCTTCAGGAGGGAAAGCCCTGAACCGGAAAATGTTCTGAGGAGCCTTAATATTTATTGTCCTGGGTATCAGAATGGTAAGGAACAAAGCAAAAGTCAGCTTTGTGTTTAAGGAAGATGCAACAGAACCTACACTGCATGTAAAAGATAAGAGAATGTGAAGAATCAGAGGCATGGAATACTTGCAATGCACTCCATGCCTTTGATGGCTCCCTTCCCTACGTGCTCCTGTGTGACTAGTTAATGGTCCAAGTCAGACTAAAACACCATCACAAGTTTCATTCACCTGTGTGTGTGTGTGGATTGTCTGTGTACAACAAATGATGAGGTGGGCATAGTAGTACTGTAATGTTGATGACTATAGTGAGAATTTTTTTTTTATTATTATCACACTGGCCGATTCCCACCAAGGCAGGGTGGCCCGAAAAAGAAAAACTTTCACCATCATTCACTCCATCACTGTCTTGCCAGAAGGGTGCTTTACACTACAGTTTTTAAACTGCAACATTAACACCCCTCCTTCAGAGTGCAGGCACTGTACTTCCCATCTCCAGGACTCAAGTCCGGCCTGCCGGTTTCCCTGAACCCCTTCATAAATGTTACTTTGCTCACATCCAACAGCACGTCAAGTATTAAAAACCATTTGTCTCCATCACTCCTATCAAACACGCTCACGTATGCCTGCTGGAAGTCCAAGCCCCTCGCACACAAAACCTCCTTTACCCCCTCCCTCCAACCTTTCCTAGGCCGACCCCTACCCCGCCTTCCTTTCACTACAGACTGATACACTCTTGAAGTTATTCTGTTTCGCTCCATTCTCTCCACATGTCCGAACCACCTTAACAACCCTTCCTCAGCCCTCTGGACAACAGTTTTGGTAATCCCGCACCTCCTCCTAACTTCCAAACTACGAATTCTCTGCATTATATTCACACCACACATTGCTCTCAGACATGACATCTCCACTGCCTCCAGCCTTCTCCTCCGCTGCAACATTCATCACCCCATGCTTCACACCCATATAAGAGCGTTGGTAAAACTATACTCTCATACATTCCCCTCTTTGCCTCCAAGGACAAAGTTTCTTTGTCTCCACAGACTCCTAAGTGCACCACTCGCCCTTTTCCCCTCATCAATTCTACGATTCACCTCATCTTTCATAGACCCATCCGCTGACACGTCCACTCCCAAATATCTGAATACATTCACCTCCTCCATACTCTCTCCCTCCAATCTGATATCCAATCTTTCATCACCTAATCTTTTTGTTATCCTCATAACCTTACTCTTTCCTGTATTCACTTTCAATTTTCTTCTTTTGCACACCCTACCAAATTCATCCACCAATCTCTGCAACTTCTCTTCAGAATCTCCCCTTTGCCTTTATACAAAGGAACTATGCATGCTCTCTGCCAATCCCTAGGTACCTTACCCTCTTCCATACATTTATTAAATAATTGCACCAACCACTCCAAAACTATATCCCCACCTGCTTTTAACATTTCTATCTTTATCCCATCAATCCCGGCTGCCTTACCCCCTTTCAATTTACCTACTGCCTCACGAACTTCCCCCACACTCACAACTGGCTCTTCCTCACTCCTACAAGATGTTGTTCCTCCTTGCCCTATACACGAATCACAGTTTCCCCTATCTTCATCAACATTTAACAATTCCTCAAAATATTCCCTCCATCTTCCCAATACCTCTAACTCCTCCATTTAATAACTCTCCTCTCCTATTTTTAACTGACAAATCCATTTGTTCTCTAGGCTTTCTTAACTTGTTAATCTCACTCCAAAACTTTTTCTTATTTTCAACAAAATTTGTTGATAACATCTCACCCACTTTCTCATTTGCTCTCTTTTTACATTGCTTCACCACTCTCTTAACCTCTCTCTTTTTCTCCATATAACTCTTCCCTCCTTGCATCACTTCTACTTTGTAAAAACTTCTCATATGCTAACTTTTTCTCCCTTACTACTCTCTTCACATCATCATTCCACCAATCGCTCCTCTTCCTCCCGCACCCACTTTCCTGTAACCACAAACTTCTGCTGAACACTCTAACACTACATTTTTAAACCTACCCCATACCTCTTCGATCCCATTGCCTATGCTCTCATTAGCCCATCTATCCTCCAATAGCTGTTTATATCTTACCCTAACTGCCTCCTCTTTTAGTTTATAAACCTTCACCTCTCTCTTCCCTGATGCTTCTATTCTCCTTGTATCCCATCTACCTTTTACTCTCAGTGTAGCTACAACTAAAAGTGATCTGATATATCGTGGCCCCTCTATAAACATGTACATCCTGAAGTCTACTCAACAGTCTTTTATCTACCAATACATAATCCAACAAACTACTGTCATTTCGCCCTACATCATATCTTGTATACTTATTTATCCTCTTTTCTTAAAATATGTATTACCTATAACTAAAACCCCTTTCTATACAAAGTTCAATCAAAGGGCTCCCATTATCATTTACACCTGGCACCCCAAACTTACCTACCACACCCTCTCTAAAAGTTTCTCCTACTTAGCATTCAGGTCCCCTACCACAATTACTCTCTCACTTGGTTCAAAGGCTCCTATAACATTCACTTAACATCTCCCAAAATCTCTCTCTCTCTCTTCTGCATTCCTCTCTTCTCCAGGTGCATACACGCTTATTATGACCCACTTCCGCATCCAACCTTTACTTTAATCCACATAATTCTTGAATTTACACATTCATATTCTCTTTTCTCCTTCCATAACTGATCATTCAACATTACTGCTATCCCTTCCTTTGCTCTAACTCTCTCAGATACTCCAGATTTAATCCCATTTATTTCCCCCCACTGAAACTCCCCTACCCCCTTCAGCTTTGTTTTGCTTAGGGCCAGGACATCCAACTTCTTTTCATTCATAACATCAGCAATCATCTGTTTCTTGTCATCCGCACTACATCCACGCACATTTAAGCATCCCAGTTTTATAAAGTTTTTCTTCTCTTTTTTAGTAAATGTCTACAGGAGAAGGGGATACTAGCCCATTGCTCCCAGCATTTTAGTCGCCTCATACGACACGCATGGCTTACGGAGGAAAGACCATATAATTCTGAAGTGAAAATACTGGTTGACCTCAGAAGTCACCCTTGGAATGAGGAGTTTAAAGCAGAGAGAAAGTCTCTTAAAAAGAAGAGGAAGGGGAGGGCAAACTTTGACCATAGGTGGGAAGAAGTCAGATGAGGTGGAAAAAAATGAACTATGGTAGTATAAGATCTAGTATTACTGTATTATACTAACATCAAGCACTAAACCCTTATGGATCATACAGTGCTATGGTGTGGAATGTGCAAAAATAGGGGTTAGCAGAGTTGAGGGTTGGTGAGAATTAATGTCAAAAATGATGCCACACGTTAGGTTCTGTTAGAAAATCAAGAGTGTACTGAAGGCAAAATTTTTGACAAGGTCGTCAGAATTATAGAATCAGGGTGTTGAAGATAAAGGGAATTCTACACGTGTCCCAATAGATAACAGACAGGTTATGAGGAACAAATAGCTCAACCTGTTGGTCCTTGCAGAGGCACCTGGCATCTTTCAATGTGGTATCTGTGCATATGATCCATAATCATGAGCGTGTGATTTCCTATACCAAACAGTAATGGAAATAGATGGACAAGAACCCAACAGTGGTTTGACAGAGAATATTTTGTTTTGCACTACCATTTACCAACACGGTTGCCAATAGTTTCAAAGTTGCTGAGTGTGTACACAGTTTTGAGAGAATACTGGAATGATAGCACAAGAAAGGGACCCCATGGGAGATAATGAGGAAGACATGCAGTGATACCTTTATCACAAGAGTTTGTCAAGGACTGGATGAAACATCATAATATAGGTTTCACTGCAAACAATGTCTTCCTTACTATCTGTTGGCTTATGCCATTGTTTACACCCTCCTACGCTGTGAAAGACCAACAGGTTGTGAATAGTGGACAGGGCACCTGAGTGGGGAGTCACTGACCTGCATATGAGTGTCCTGGGACCCAGTAAAAAACTTGCTACTCTGTGTTTTTTATTTAGAAATGCGATGTAACCGTTGAATAAAAAGTATGCTGGAATATGGAAAGCATAATTTCTGATACATTAGCTTGTAATGCACAATATGTACCCAGGTGTATAATATCCTTACTATAACAATGAAGGAGTGGAGATAGGGGAAGAGTGAACAGGAGCGAGAAAGTGAGGGAAACAGTCCAGCTGCTGCTCACCCCCCTATACACCTGTACCGTAGCTCTGTATACAATAATAAAACAATGTTTAATATGATCTGTAATTAAGAATACTTACTGCTTGGAATGCATCTCTAATTATAACGTAGGTGTTTATGAGAAAATAGGTTTCAAGTTATGAACAACCGACTATTTTCAGCCCCTGACTGTTTCTGTGAAATTGTTCACATACAGTGAAGACAAAATCCCTTGAGGAAGAAGTGGAGCAAGTCCACTGATGGCAATAAGTAATACAGCTGCTGGATTTCTCCCTTTATTCCACACTCAACTTTATAATGGTCCAGGAATGACCAAAATTACAAGTTATGGTAGTTTAATTTTTGTTTCTTACAACAAATAGCTTGGAGTCACCTTGATGGACAGCTTGAATATAGGGGCTATACAGCTGTACTTTGCTCATCAGAAACAGTGCCAGCAATATTTTTATACTGTATATACAGTATCTACAGTTAGGAGGCTGAAGAGTTAAGAATCTTTCATGTTATGGCATTCTCTAATTATTCTTGTGACACTTCTATCATTTCTTTGAGTTTACTTCATATTCAATACCAGATTTCTTACTTTGGTATGTAAATTAAACTAATGGAGCACCAGCATTTTCAGTATGAATGTAAACAGCTGAAAATGTGTTGGGAAGTAGGAGAAAGGGAGGTGTTTAGGTAGATGCACCTAAAAAATTATGCCACTAGTATATAAAAAAAATTTCTTGGTAATAATTTTGTCAACATTTATTTTAAGAAAATTAGTCTAATGTATTTACTATGTTATTGTTGTTTTGTGTGAATATTACAGTCAAAATCGTCACCATGTTCATAATGATGACAAGACAAACCTCAGGAGTAGGAGGGCAGCACTCGGTGGATTCAAGAAGATAGATTTTACGGATCCAAAGGTCAAAGAGGTGTCAGAATTTGCCGTCAAGACCATGGATGAAAGGACTAATGAAATTAATGTCAGGGTTATTGAGAAAGTGATCAATGCTGAAGTGCAGGTCAGTAAATATACAATAGTAATTTGTTGTGGGGTGTCCATAATACAATATTTATTATTTTAACAATAATGATATGTACAGTATAACATACAGGGTGTTCAGTATGTAATAAAAAAATTGCAAACAGGAACTTTTATATTAATATGATTGATGTTATTTTGAGCAGACAGTAAGTGGTAAAAACTGGAAGCTTCAAGTACAGTTGAGCTGGACAACATGTAGGAAAAATGAACAAGTTCAGGACTTGAGCACCTGTGAGAAGGACCCCAGTAAACCCAGGAGTATTTGTGACGTTATTGTTTATGAAGTACCATGGAAAAACCACATGGAAGTGACTAACACATCATGTACAACTGTGGAAGAAGCTAAGTGAGTAATTATAAAGCACACTTGAGGAAAGCTTAACATTACCATTATTGTACAAGGTTTATTTCTACAATGCTGAGTGCAATCAGCAGCTCACACTTACTTTATATTTTACTTTTACAACAAAACTGTTAAATTTTGCAATTTATATATTCATTATCTCTATGCAGTCAAAAATGTCTTCATAAGCAAAGTATCTTGGTTTGCATCTATGCATTTGTTTCATCTCAAATTGATTTTTGTAATTGTGGGTTTGCCTAACTACTTGCTAAAATGACCTCAGCCTATACTAAGGTTTGCAACTAGACTGATATTTTTGCATCCAAATGAAATTCCCACTAGTCCCTACTTGTATGAGATATATTGGCCCCCTATGAAGGCAAGGATTGAATTTAAACTATTTATTAACATTTAAAGTTATTAAGCTTAATCAACCCAAATATCTTACTGATATGGCAGTACCTTTTACAAAAGACCTGGGAATGTTTGTGAATTGTTGTGAACCTTTTAGATGATTGAGCCTCGTACTGATGGGAAGAATACATTCACTGAAAGAGCCTTTGCTTATGTACCTCCTAGACATTTCAACAGTTCTTTAGTGTCTGTTCATGTTTTCAAGTTTCATTTTCATTCTAAAGCTTATTATTCTAATGACCATACTGTCACTCTTGAATATATACCCTAGTACTGGGTATTTCTTCATCACTGCTGTATTTATGGCTGTGTGAGTGACTGTAATTATGTTTTAAAGAACAGGCACTCAAGAATACCAATCCCATTTATTATTAAATAAAGAATTACTGGTAGACAGATACAATAAATTACAGTATATATATTTTTTAAATTTAGCATTGTAAACTGTTTACATATTAATTTTACAGCCAAAATCATAGTAATGATAATACTGATGAACTACCAAGCATCAGGAGGAGGAGAGCAGCTCTTGGAGGGTACGAACCAGTACAACTCCCTGATCAAAATATTAATAAAGTGGCAGAGTTTGCTGTTAAGTCAATGGATGCAAGGATTAATGACCCTAATGTCAGGGTTGTTGAGAAAGTGATCGGTGCTCAAAAGCAGGTCAGTAAATTTAATTTGATGTGGGGTATATACAAAACAATATTAATGTTATTTAAAAAAAAAAAAAAGTCTTGCTAGTTATATAATATGTGGTGTTTAATATGTAATTATGAAAATGCAGAGAATTCTTGTATTTATGTGATTATTATTTTGAGCAGATAGTAAGTGGCATAAACTGGAAACTTCAAGTACAGTTAAGCTGGACAACATGTAGGAAAGAGGAAAAAGTCCAAGACTTGAGCACCTGTGAGAAGGACCCCAGTAAACCCAGCAGTATTTGCAATGTTATTGTTTATGAAGTACCATGGAAAAACCACATGGAAGTGACTGACACATCATGTACAACTGTGGAAGATGATACGTGAGTAATTATAAAGCATACTTGAGGAAAGTTCAACATTACCATTACTGTACAAGGTTTATTTTTACAATGATGTGTGCAGTCAACAACTACACTTAGTTTATATTTTACTTTCACAACCAATTTATATACATATTCAGTACAGAATCTCTGCAGCCAAAAATGTCTTTATAAGCAAAGTATCCTGGTTTGTATCTACACATCTGTTTCCTCTCAAGTTATTTTTTGTAATTGTTTGAGAGTTTGCCTCGCTACTTGCTAAAATGACCTCAGCCTATACTGAGGTTTGCAGCTAGACTGATATTTTCGCTTCCAACTGGAATTCTCACTAGTCCTACTTGTATGAGCTGTATTGGTTCCCTATGAAGACAAGAATTGAATTCAAACTTTTTTTTTTTTTATTAGCATTTGAAGTTTTAACCTTAATCATCCAAATATCTGGCTGATATGCCAATACCTTTTACAAAGGGCTTGGGAATGTTTGTGAATTGTTACAAATCTTTTAGATGATTGAGCCTAAGTTGTTGGGAAAAATACACTCACAGAAAGATCCTCTGCATATGTAGCTCCTAGATAGTTCATCAGGTTGTTAGTGTGTGTTAAGACTTAGGATTATTATTATAATAAAAAAGAAGCGCTAAGCCACAAGGGCTATACAGCGCTGCAGGGTAGGGAAGGAAGCGAGGGTATTGGATGGCAGAAGGGAGGAGGGATGATCAGTAGGTTACAGAAAACAGCGGGGCAGGGGATAGTACGGGGGTAGAGGGTAGCAAGAGATTGAAGTAGAAAGGGCTGAAGGTATCAGAATTTGTGAAGTCAGTCAGTTGTTGTCAAAAAGTCAATGAGAGAGTCTGGATGAAAGGTGGGTCCATCAGCGAGAAGGGAAGGTAAAGAGAGAGCAGCGGAGCGAAGACGACGACGGAGGTAAATTCTGCGTGCTCGTTGATAAAGTGGGCAGTCCAACAGAATGTGGCTGACTGATAATGGAACTTGCAATTCTCACAGAGAGGAGCAGGGCGCCTCTCCATGAGATATCCATGAGTAAGACGAGTATGGCCAATGCGAAGACGGGAGAGAGTAGTCTCCCAACCTCGACACTGGTGATAAAAAGACGGCCAGTAACCTATACTCGGTTTAATAGATTGAAGTTTGTTGCCGAGCATAGTAGACCAACGTTGTTGCCAACGGGTGTGAAGGTGGGAAGATATTGCAGCAAAATAGTCCGTAAATGGAATACCTCTAATGAAACTGGTAGGTCATGTACTGCTGACCGCGCAGCAGTGTCTGCCTGTTCATTGCCCTGTACGTCAACATGACCAGGGACCCAACAAAAAACAATATCTTTATGCTTGGTAAAGATGCGGCATAGCCAAAGTTGGATACGGAGGACTAAGGGGTGAGGTGTATCAAATTTCTGTATAGCCTGTAAAGCACTAAGGGAGTCTGAGACAACCACAAAAGAAGACACAGGCATAGATGCAATACGGATAAGTGCTGTAAGGATGGCATACAATTCAGCAGTAAAAATACTAGCTGAAGATAGTAAATGCCCTTGTACAACGCTGTCCGGAAACACTGCTGCGAATCCTACGCCGTCAGAAGACTTAGAGCCATCTGTGTACACAGCAATGGCATGAGAATGAGAGTGAAGTGGTCAAGAAAAAGAGAGCGGGAAGCAACCGTAGACAGTTGGGCTTTCGAGCAAGGGAGAGAGAAAGAACAGACTCGAACAGCTGGAACTTCCCAGGGGGGTAGGGAAAAGTGAGATGCTACATGTACATAGAAAGGTGGTAATTGAAGAGAAGACAAGAGCGAATGAAGGCGAAGAGAGAAGGGAAGGAGTAAACGGGGGCGGCGAACAAATAAAAAAAAGTCTATAAATCAGTGACCATTCTTAAATGGAAGTTTGGGGAATCATAGAGCATACATAGTAGCGAAGGCAATGTGCATCCGGGATCGATAAATGGAACTTCGCTTCGCAAAAGGGGCCCTCACAGGGAAAGAGGAAAAGCACCCAAGGAAAAACGTAACCTTGAGATGAAGGGGGTTAAAGGGCTAAGAGAGTAGAGGAGATCCCGCTGAATGATTGGTCCCCAAATCAAGTTTCGATAAAATAGGGTAAAATGTGGGCAAAGGGGGGTTCGCAATCATTTCCCCCCATGAAAGATGAGAAAGGGGTTTTAAGAAGGTTCACCGGGCTGTGAAAAGTTGCCTTCAGGGGTAATGGGGGTTTCCAGGTAACCTACGATCAAAGAGGGGCCCAAAATTTGCTGTATCACTTTCAGGGTTTGGGGACCATAGAGGTAAAAAAGGGTGACGGAATGACAGAGCGTCTGGAAAGTAATTGGTGGGCTTTAGTGCGGAAAATTAAAAAAAACCCACTTGGTGGCCAATTGGAAACAACGTGACTGCATGCGGGAGAAAACTGTAATAAGGTGACAGCAGCGCCTGACAGGCAAAGGAAGTCCAACATAGGTGATGCCCAAATTTATTTGTGGAAGACTAGAGGCCAAATCTTTAATGCAAGGAAAAAAAGTGGGTCTCAAAACACCCCGGGGGGCACCTTCACTTGGAAAAAGTCTGGGGAGGCACATTATTAACCCAAACACGGAAATGCTGTCATTAAAAGTTCAAAAGGAAGGGTGGAAATTTGCCTCAAGGGCCTAAGGAGTGGGTTTGGGCAAAAATTTTTTAAACCCCAATTGTTCATAGCCTTCTAAAGGTCAAAAAATAGGGCAAAATGGTGGTTATTCGAAAAGGCTTACGAACATACGTACCAAACGTAAAAGGGGGTTTTGGGTAAAAACCCCCTTACAAAACCCATTTTGAAGTGGAGGACTGTTGGTTCTCTAAATACCACACAAACGTTTTTTATAGGGTTCCATCCTTTGCAAAGCATGGAAAGAGCAAGGGGACGATGTGGGGGTTTCATGCCCCCTATCCGGGTTTTCGGAAAGGGAGAACAATGGCGGTTTTCCACAGCTGGGGGAAGAATCCTTGTGACCAAATAAGATTGTAAAGGCGTAATGACGCAAGGGTGATGTTTAAAAAGTTGTAGCATACGAAATAAAATGTCGTCGGGCCCGCGCCGGGATTGGCAAGCGAGAGTGCCCCCCCCTCCAGTTTTTTGAATTAAAAGGCACATTATCTATTTTTCCCCTTTGAGAGAAGAAAAGTCCAAGGGTGTTTTAACTCCTGGCGATTTTTGAGGAAAGAAATGGGGGGGGGCATGATGGGGCCCCCTAAAAATCGGACCAGATGATTGTAAATTTTCATTGGCAACTCTAGGGGGTTTGCTATAAAACACCGGCAACCCGGAAGAACAGGACCCGGGTCAGGAAATTTTTTTTCCCATATTTTTTTCGTATTTTTTTTTTTTTTCCAGACTGCATCATGAGGGCAGAGGTGAGGTGGAACAAATTCGCCACCCAAGTGCGTTTAGCATCACGGATGACACGGGAAAAACGACGCACGCTTTGCTTTAAAATCAAGAAGTCTCTCTGTGGTTCTATTTTACCGGAAACCCCTGCCCCATGCAGCGCGTTTCAAACTATGCACAGCAAAAGCGGGAGACCCCCCAAGGCACGCTTTTCTGAGAATGCCTGCCCAAAAGTTTGGGTAAGAATGAGAAGCTGCGGTTAAAAGGAGGATGAAAAGAGGTGTAAAGTCATCGTGGAGGACGAAGAAGGACCTCTCTAAAAACTTTAGGGGGAGAAAAATTTTTTTCCAATTTTTGCCCTGATCAAATTCCCACGTGGGAAGAAGGTGGTGAATATAAGGGGAATTAAAAAGTTGGAAATGATCGCTGTCATGAAGTCCGGAAGAACAGACCAAGTGGGTCAATGCGGGGGGGAAGAGAGATTGAGGATCGATGCAAGAAGAGTGAGGTCCGGGGATCAAATGGGGGAGTCCTGATTTAAAACATGGAGGGGGGGGGTGGGTGGCAAAAAAAAGCCTCTAACGGAATGAAACGGGAAATCCAGTGAGACCCCTCCAAAAAGGAAAATTGGGCATTAAAATCCCAAATAAAAATCGGGGGTTAAACAAACCCCAAGAAAGGCAATTTTCCGGAATAAAATCCCAAAAAAATTTTAAAAAACAAAACTATACCCCTTTGGGGGTCCTCTTGTTTAAAAAACAACAAATGCTTTACGATACACAAAAACCTTCATTAAAGTCCTCCAAAAATCTGGAATACAAAAAAATTACAAATTGCGATTGAAAATTTTTCCTGTAAAAACCCAACAAAAACTAAAAAAACCAACCCCCTTTTCCCCCCCTGAGGGCGTAAAATTCCACTGTAAATAGGCCATGTTTTGGCAAATTAAAGATACCGAAATCGGGGGAAAGGGTTTCCCCAGGGACTAGGGGGGTTTAAAAAAGTCCACATGCGGGGGGCAGTGGAAAACTTTAAAAAAAAAGCATGAAGGAACGGTGCGCGTGAAAAAGGAGTTGGGGAGAGGGAGTAGGAAGAGAAGGAGCGGGGGGATCAGGGTCCATGATGTTTTGGTCTCCTGAATATATTCAGAGATTGCTTAAGTGTTTCAAAATTCGAGACGTCGTATGGGAGACAATTTTGGGAAATGGTGGGGGAAGGATATAAAGATTGGAACTAATGGAGTACCAAGGTAGGGGGGGGGGGGGGGAAAGGGGGGGAGGGAATGGGGGGAAGGTGGAAGGGGAAGGAGGCGAAATTGGGGGGGCAAAGGGGAAGAAACGGGAGGGCAGGGGGGGGGGTAAGAGAGGAGGGGGGGTAACTTACACTTGTAACAGAGAGTGAGGGGGGGGAGAAAAGGGTACAGAGACCGGGGGGAAAAGAGGGGGGGAAATGGGTGGAGGTTTAACACCTTTTTTGATTTTTTAAATTGAAACATTTAAGGTTTTACGAGATCCATCGCAAACTGAGGCTTGGAAGAGAACAGGAAGCCCCAGTTTTAGCTGGCGTTAAGTAGGGACTCTGAGCCCCAGGACAGCCCCAAAAAATTAGCTACGGAGTGGGGGGTTGGGAGGGGGTAACCACAGAGGTGGGTGCAGAAGATGGGAAAAAAGAAGGGGGGACTTTTAAAACCCCAAAAGGGGGAATAAGAAACCGAGGTAGCCCTTGGGGGGGGGGGAGGAAACGTTTAAAGGAAAGGGACCTTCTGCCTCTTTTGAGGAAGGACCGGGCTCGTTTTTAAAAAAAAAACGACAACGGCGAGAATTAAGGGTGAGCCCAAGACCCAATTAAGGCAAGAGGGGAGGCAAAGCAAGATGATTAAATGGGGGCCGGCACCACGCCCCCGGGCACGGGCAGACCAATATTTTCCCCCCGGAGCCCAAAACGCCAGCAAATTTTACCTTTTTGCGGTGTAGGGGCACCTTTCGAACTTTTAACCAATGTCCTGCTACATAAACTGAGGATGGGAGTTCAGGCTGGGGCAAAATTAAAAAAAAAGCCCCATTGCAGGGTATCGTCCCCCCGCCCCGGGGGGAAGGGAAGGTAATGGTTTCCTTGAGATGGGGGGAAAAAATTGGAGTTTTTCCCGCTGTTCATGAATTCATTCCACATGTCTGGAAAAAATTTTTTGAACATGGTTTGGGGAAAAGACGGTACCCTACAAGATTGGGGTTGAGCTTTTTCAATATGACAGGGAAAAGTATCGATATGGGAAAGACGAGAAAGCTCTGACCCGGGTAGCTTCTGTACGGGATGTTCGGTACCCCCTTAAGAGATGAAAAAAAAATATCTTTCCAAATGGTGAGAGTCCTTGCCAATACGTGGTAGAAAATAAAAAAAAAAAAAAAAAAAAGAATTTAGCCTTTTGATCTAAACTGGACGTGGAAATGTAAGGACGTTCTCTTTTCTGAGAAACAAAATAAAAAAACCCCCTCAACGGTAACTGTCTTGGGTTTGGCGTGGGACAAAGGGTTTGGGCCGACTGGAAAGGGGGCCGCGATTCAAAATTGCCCCCAACCGTAGAGGGAGGGGCCCAAGCATAGTCCCGAGGAGAGCGAAGGTCAGATAAATCGAAGGGTCAGTCGGGCCTCAGTACCTGAAACGGGTGAGGAAACAGCACCGGCAAAAGTACAAAAGGGATGAGGAGTGTCCCCAAGATTTGGGCCAAAGCAGGCAGGGTCAGAACAGGGTGGGGGGACAAGAAGGGGGCCCCCGGGGTAGCAGGTTTTAGGCTAGGGCTGCCCTGGTTTTTTACTTCTTTCTTTTTTTTTTTTTTAAAAAAAAAAAAAAAAAGAAGAAAAAAAAAAAAAAAAAAAAAAGAAAAAAAAAAAGGGGGGGCCGGGAAGGGGGGGGTAGTTCCTAGGAGGAAAGAAAGGGCCCGAAATCCCCTCCCGGCCCCCAAAAGGACCCCAGCACCGAAGTAGCGCAGATGCAGCATGGAACCCTGCCAAAAACCCCACCCATCCCCTGCCAGAAACCGGCAATCCGGGAAAGGGGGGAACCTCACTTCTGCCGAGCTACCCCTTTGGGGGAAAAAAGAGAGGCGGGCCCGGAAATCCGCCACAAAAGCATACCCCCCCCTTCGGCCACCAACCCCCCCAATCCGAAAGGTGGCTTCCAGAGATACACCCGTCCCGAGAGACCCCCAAAGCCACCCCCCGGGATACCGGAGGGACAGGGGCATCCCCAGGGAAACCCGATTCCCGGCAAACTACGCCACCCCAAGAAAACCCCAAGGAATGGGGAAAGGGGGCCCCGTTACCCTTTCCCCTCCTAGGAACTAGTGTGCAAAAAAAAAAAAAAGGCCAAAAAGGAAGGGCAAAAGGGGGGGGTGGGAGGAAAGGAAAAAGGGGAGGATGGGGGGGATGGGATTTTGGGGAAAAGGGGTTGGGGGGGAAAATTTGGTTCGGGCTGGGAAGTAACCACAGGTCTAATTCCTCGACCAAAGCCCCTTTCACCAGCCAAGGACCCCCCTTGAAAGGTTTAAAACTTTGGAAACTGTTCATGTTTTCAAAATTTTCAAAAGAAATGACACATTTTCAAGCTTATTATTCTAATGACGGTACTGTCACTCTTTTCCTGAAACTCCAAATTTTCCCTTACAATAGGAATTCACAATCCAAATCTTATCACTACCAACGTATACAAGTAAGCTAATAACACAAAGAGCCCCAGCTAGTGAACTAGTCCTGGTTTTGTTTCATAGTAAGTTACAAGTGGAGGGGTAAAAAGGGTCAAAGGGGAAAGCCCCAAAATAAAAAAGGGGGGACTACACAGGTATGAGGAACTTCCTGGGGGGTCAGGGGGAAAAAAAATGGTATAAGTCAGTAAATAAATGATGGGAAAGTAAGAACAAAAAGCAAGGGGGCAAGGGAAAAGGGTTTTTTCCCCAAAGGGCAACGAAACAATGGGAAGACCAAAGCGATCCTTGGTTTACCCCCAAGGTGCAGGGGGGGCAAAAACTAAGTGCATTAGAGAATGGAAGGGTAAGAAGGCAAAGGGCCCCAGGAAAAAAAAGGAGATCAGCAAAGCCCATATGCTACGATATGGGGGTGGCAAACCCTTTAGAATAGGTTCCGATACCTTATAAGGAATCGTTCAAGACAGTACCGTGTACACGGCCCATACTGGAGTATCAGCACCCGTTTTTAACCCCACCTGGGAAGCACTCAAGAAATTAGAGAAATGCAAAAATTTGCAACAAGGTATTCCAGGCTCAGGGGTATTCCACGAAGAAGCGGGGGAAATCGGACTGACGACATGGGGGGCAGAGGGGCAGGGGAACAGATGACTAAAAATACTGCAGAAAAGATAAGTGGAAGAGAATTGTTCCCCGAGGGGGACCAGAAACAAGGGGTCAAATTGGAAGCGAAGACCAGACGAGTCAGACAGATGTTTGGAAGTATTTTTTCAGTCATAGAGTCCAGGAAGTTTGAATAGCCCACAAGGTGTAGTGGAGGGAGGAACCATACATAGCTTTAAATGAATTGACAAAGCTCAGGAAGCAGAGAGAGAGAGGACCTAGTAGCGATCAGTGAAGAGGCAGGGCCAGTAGCTGAGTCTCAACCCCTGCAACCACAATTAGGTGAGTACATTCTCACACATACATCTATAATTTCTTATACAGCTGGTAAAGTGAAATTATACATCGTTGCTGCATTGATGGTTGTGTGCGAGTGCCTGTGATATTTTTTAAAGAACAGCCACTCTAGAATACTAATTCCATTTATATTATTATTAGATAGAGACAATTACTGGTAGACGAATACAATAAAATTACAGTACAGTTATGTATTACTAACACTAGACATCAAATATGAAAAATAACGTGAAAATAAAAAATCGCGTTTATTAATGATTTAATATTGCATCTTTATGTATGTTCACATTTCTCTCAACTATGAATGGAACATGTATGATCTGCAATTGTTTGTGTAAGTTTTGATAAATTTTATCTTTTTATAATAGATTTGTGTATATTTTTTGTAGTATAAATGATAAAATAGACTAGTTTTTATGTATATTTTATGCATTCATGACATACCTTTCTTATTTTTTCAGTTGCAAATTGGCAAAAAATGTTCCCATATACCTGTTGAAAAAAGCCTGTGTATAAGTGGATCTACATAGTTCAAACCTGTGTTATTCAAGGGTCAACTGTGTATATATTTTTTTTTAAATTTAGCATTGTCAACTGTTTACTTATTAATTTTACAGCCAAAATCATAGTAATGATAATACTGGTGAACTACCAAGCATCAGAAACAGGAGAGGAGCTCTTGGAGGATATGAACCTGTACAACTCCCTGATCAAAATATTGATAAAGTAGCAGAGTTTGCTGTTACGTCAATGGATGCGAGGATTAATGATCCTAATGTCAGGGTTGTTGAGAAAGTGATCAGTGCTCAAAAGCAGGTTAGTAAATTCAGTTTCATGTGGGTATATACAACACAGTATTAATGTTACATATTTTACCTAAAAAAAGAATTGCTGGATATACAATATATGGTGTTCAATATTTAATTATGAAAATGCAGAAGATTCTTGTATTTATGCAATTAATATTATTTTGAGCAGATAGTAAGTGGCATAAACTGGAAGTTTCAAGTACAGCTGAGCTGGACAACATGTAGGAAAAATGAACAAGTCCAGGACTTGCGCACCTGTGAGAAGGACCCCAATAAACCCAGCAGTATTTGTGATGTTATTGTTTATGAAGTACCATGGAAAAACCACATGGAAGTGACTAACACATCATGTACAAATGTAGAAGATAATAAGTGAGTAATTATGGAGCATACTTAAGGAAAGCTTAACCTTACCATTACTGTACAAGGTTTATTTTCACAATGCTGGGTGCAGTCAGCAGCTCACACTTACTTTATATTTTATGTTTACAACCAAACTATTAAATTTTGCAATATATATATTATGTTCATAAGCAAAGCATCTTGGTTTGTATCTATGCATTTGTTTCATCTCAAATTAATTTTTGTAATTGTTTGTTGGTGGGTGTACCTAACTACTTGCTAAAATGACCTCAGCCTATACTGAGGTTTGCAGCTAGACTGATATTTTAACTTCCAACTGGAATTCCCACTAGTCCTTACTTATATGGGCTGAATGGCCTCCTTATGAAGGCAAGAATTGAATTTAAAATATTTATTAACATTTAAAGTTACTAAGCTTAATTATCCCAAATATCCTGCTGATATGCCAGTATCTTTTACAAAGGGCCTGGGAATATTTCTGTGAATTCTTGCGAACCTTTAAGATGATCGAGCCTCGTGCTATTGGGAAGAATAAATTCACAGAAAGAGCCTTTGCTTATGTAGCTCCTAAACAGTCCAACAGTTTGTTAGCGTCTGTTCATGTTTTCAAGTCTCAATTGAAATGACATCTCTTTTCTAGAGGCTATTATTCTAATGACCATACTGTCACTCTTGAATGTATACGTATTTTAGTATTGGGTATTTCTTCATCATTGCTGCATTTTTGGCTTTGTGTGCGAGTGCCTGTGATTATGTTTTAAAGAACAGGCACCAAGAATACCAATCCCATTTGTATTATTATTATTATTAAATAAAGACAATTTCTGGTAGATTTTTTTTTTTTTTTCAACAAGTCGGCCGTCTCCCACCGAGGCAGGGTGACCCAAAAAAGAAAGAAACTCCCCAAAAAGAAAATACTTTCATCATCATTCAACACTTTCACCACACTCGCACATTATCACTGTTTTTGCAGAGGTGCTCAGAATACAACAGTTTAGAAGCATACACATATAAAGATACACAACATATCCCTCCAAACTGCCAATATCCCAAACCCCTCCTTTAAAGTGCAGGCATTGTACTTCCCATTTCCAGGACTCAAGTCCGACTATATGAAAATAACCGGTTTCCCTGAATCCCTTTACTAAATATTACCCTGCTCACACTCCAACAGATCATCAGGTCCCAAGTACCATTCGTCTCCATTCACTCCTATCTAACACGCTCACGCACGCTTGCTGGTAGATGAATACAATAAATTACAGTATATACTGTATATATATATTTTTTAAATTTAGCATTAACTGTTTAAATATTGACTTTACAGCCAAGATCATAGTAATGATAATACTGATGAACTACCAAGCATCAGGAGGAGGAGAGCAGCTCTTGGAGGATATGAACCTGTACAACTCCCTGATCAAAATATTAATAAAGTAGCAGAGTTTGCTGTTAAGTCAATGGATGCAAGGATTAATGACCTTAATGTCAGGGTTGTCGAGAAAGTTATCAGTGCTCAAAGCAGGTCAGTAAATTTAATTTAATGTGGGTATATACAACACAATATTAATGTTATTTAAAAAAAAGTCTTACAAGAAAAATGAGGTGTTTAATATGTAATTATGAAAATGCAGGGGATTCTTGTATTTATGTGATTTTATTATTTTGAGCAGATAGTAAGTGGCATAAACTGGAAAAATTCAAGTACAGTTAAGCTGGACAACATGTAGGAAAGAGGAAAAAGTTCAGGACCTGAGCACCTGTCAGAAGGACCCCAGTAAACCCAGCAGTATTTGCAATGTTATTGTTTATGAAGTACCATGGAAAAACCATATGGAAGTGACTGACACGTCATGTACAACTGTGGAAGATGATAAGTGAGTAATTATAAAGCATACTTGAGGAAAGTTCAACATTACCATTACTGTACAAGGTTTATTTTTACAATGATGTGTGCAGTCAACAACTAACACTTAGTTTATATTTTACTTTCACAACCAATTTAATATATTTAGTATATCTCTGCTGTCAAAAATGTCTTTGCAAGCAAAGTATCCTGGTTTGTATCTATGCATCTGTTTTCTCTCAAACTGATTTTTTGTAATTGTTTGTTTGTTTGCTTCACAACTTGCTAAAATATCCTCAGCTTATAGTGAGGTTTGCAGCTAGACTGATATTAACACTTAATAGAAAAGCTTTCATTTTTCTTTTTAGGTCACCTAGCCTTGGTGGGATATGTCCGGGTCGTTAAAAAAAATAAAAAAATTTATATTTTTTTAATTTAAACATAAAGTTAACTGTTTACATATTAATTTTACAGCCAAAATCATAGTAATGATAATACTGGTGAGCTACCAAGTATCAGAAACAGGAGAGCAGCTCTTGGAGGGTATGAGCCTGTACAACTCCCTGATCAAAATATTGATAAAGTGGCAGAGTTTGCTGTTAAGTCAATGGATGCAAGGATTAATGACCCTAATGTCAGGGTTGTTGAGAAAGTGATCAGTGCTCAAAAGCAGGTCAGTAAATTCAATTTCATGTGACTATATACATTATTAATGTCATTTTATATAAACAAGTATTACTAGATATACAATAAATAGTGTTCAACATGTAATTATGAAAATGCAGAGGATTCTTGTATTTATGTGATTATTATTATTTTGAACAGATAGTAAGTGGGATAAACTGGAAGTTTCAAGTACAACTGAGTTGGACAACATGTAGGAAAGATGAACAAGTCCAAGACTTGAGCACCTGTGAGAGGGACCCCAGTAAACCCAGCAGTATTTGCAATGTTATTGTTTATGAAGTACCATGGAAAAACCATATGGAAGTGACTGACACGTCATGTACAACTGTGGAAGATGATAAGTGAGTAATTATAAAGCACACTTGAGAAAAGCTTAACATTACCATTACTGCACAAGGTTTATTTTTACAATGATCTGTGCATTCAACAACACTTATTTTATATTTTACTTCCACAAAAAATTTTATATAATTCAGTATATCTCTGCAGTTAAAAATGTCTTAGTAAGCAAAGTATCCTGGTTTGTATCTATGCACCTGTCTCCTCTCAAATTATTTTTTGTAACTGTTTGTGAATTTTCCTCATTACTTGTTAAATGACCTCAGCCTATACTGAGGTTTGCAGCTAGACTGATACTGTAATAAAGTTGGTAGAAATGCCGACAATATGTAAAGTAAAAGGACACACTTTATAGATTGATACTTTTACTTCCAACTGGGAAATTCCACTAGTTCCTACCTCTTTGAGCTTTATTGGCTCCTATGAAGGCAAGAATTGAAAATTTTAAAATCTTTTTATTAACATTTAAAGTTTTAATCTTAATCAACCCAAATATCTGGTGATATGCCAATACAGTGACCCCCGCATAACGATCACCCCGAATGCGACCAATTATGTAAGTGTATTTATGTAAGTGCGTTTGTACGTGTATGTTTGGGGGTCTGAAATGGACTAATCTACTTCACAATATTCCTTATGGGAACAAATTCGGTCAGTACTGGCACCTGACATACTTCTGAAGTGAAAAAAATATCGTTAACCGGGGTCCACTGTACCTTTTACAAAGGGCTTGGGAATGTTTGTGAATTGTTGCAAAAAATTTTAGATGACTGAGCCTCCTGTGCTGTTGGGAAGAATACATTCACAGAAAGATCCTTTGCTTATGTAGCTCCTAGACAGTTCAACAGGTTGTTAAGATTTTGGAATCTGTTCATGTTTTCAAGTCTCAATTGAAATGACATCTCTTTTTCAGAGCTAATTATTCTAATGACCATACTGTCACTCTTGAATATAAACTTTAGTACTGGGTATTTCTTCACTGTTGCTGCATTTATAGCTTTGTGTGCAAGAGCCTGTGATTTTTAAAAGAACAGGATCAAGAAATAGGACCAATCCCAAATTATTACAGTATTAAAATTATTTTTATTATTATTAAACTAAGGCAATTATTTGTAGGTGAATACAATATAATACATATACATTAATATTATTTGGTTCTTGTTCTTCCTTTTCCTCTTATCTATATGGGGAAGTCAAAATAGAACTCTTCCACCATAAGCCATGCATGTTGCAAGGGGTAGTAACCACTTCTCCTGTATATATTTTACTAAAATTAAAAGAAAAGCTTTCGTTTTCCTTTTTAGGTCACCTTGCCTCGGTGGGGTATTTACTGGTTCATTGAAAAAAATCAAATTTAATATTTTTTTAATTTACCATAAAGTCAACTGTTTACATATTAATTTTAAAAGCCAAAATCATAGTAATGATAATACTGGTGAGCTACCAAGTATCAGAAACAGGAGAGCAGCTCTTGGAGGGTATGAGCCTGTACAAAATCCCTGATCAAAATATTGATAAAGTGGCAGAGTTTGCTGGTTTTAAATCAATGGATGCAAGGATTAATGACCCTAATGTCAGGGTTGTTGAGAAATGATCAGTGCTCAAAAAACAGGTCAGTAAATTCAATTTCATGTGAAATATATACATTATTAATGTCATTTTATATAAACAAGTATTACTAGATATACAATAAAAAGTGTTCAACATGTAATTATGAAAATGCAGAGGATTCTTGTATTTATGTGATTATTATTATTTTGAACAGATAGTAAGTGGGATAAACTGGAAGTTTCAAGTACAACTGAGTTGGACAACATGTAGGAAAGATGAACAAGTCCAAGACTTGAGCACCTGTGAGAGGGACCCCAGTAACCCAGCATATTTTTCAATGTTATTTTTTATGAAGTACCATGGAAAAACCATATGGAAGTGACTGACACGTCATGTACAACTGTGGAAGATGATAAGTGAGTAATTATAAAGCACACTTGAGAAAAGCTTAACATTACCATTACTGCACAAGGTTTATTTTTACAATGATCTGTGCATTCAACAACACTTATTTTATATTTTACTTCCACAAAAAATTTATATATTCAGTATATCTCTGCAGTTAAAAATGTCTTAGTAAGCAAAGTATCCTGGTTTTTATCTATGCACCTGTCTCCTCTCAAATTATTTTTTGTAACTGTTTTGTGAATTTGCCTCTTACTTGTTAAATGACCTCAGCCCATACGAGGGTTTTCACTAACTG